AACCAAAAAACGACAACAACAACAACAACAAACCCAAACCCAAACCAAAACAAACTACAAACAATACAACCTCTCCCAACCCCCACCCCCCCCAAAAAAAAACCCCAACAACAACAACCCAACAAAACAACAACAACAAAAAACAAACAACCCCCCTTATTAATTGCCTTTCTTGTAGATCTAAGTTTTTAAAGAATATTTTGAAATGTTTCGAACATTTTATTTTTAGGTCTAGCTAGCCTTCTCATTTTTTTGGCGGAGGCTCCCCACCCATCACTTCGCTGAGTTAAGTTTAATAATGAAGGTTGAGTTCAAAATTCCCGCCTCTAACTCTAACATAATCTTTCAATACAGAAAGGGTCGCTAATCCCATGCGGCACCACACTGCAGACAGTTCAGGGGGCTCTCGTGGCCTACAGGTTAAGGTGTTCGCATCTAATTCAATAGGTCCCGGGTTCGAATCCCGATAGCGATGGAACATTTTCTTCTAAAAAAATTTCTCCTTTCACTTTCACTTCCTTATTTTGCTCTCTGACAATGTACTGTCGTCTGCTTTTGTCTTCACTTTTCGCTCTCATCTTCTTTGCCCACTCCTCTGGGCTCATGACTCTTTCTGCAGCCTTTCTACTGTTTTTCCTTGGCTCCTTCTTACTGCTGTCTTTCAGCCACACCCCTGATCTTGTGGTTGGTAAGATCTACACCTAGCCTTCTCGGACAAGGGAGAAAAATCTCGGAGGTCCCATGTGTAAGTTGCGAACGTTAAAGATCTCTTGGTGGTCCAAAATCGATAAGAGTTGATTTCGGCCGCCACCCGGGCAAAATTCAAAATTTCTTACAAACTGAAAAACGTTTGGTGTGTCCCGCGTGCTCATGATGACCATGTATGACCTTATTATGCAGTTGAGAGCGCCGTAAAACTTACCAAAAAAAAAAAAAGAAACAAAAAAGAAACCAAAAAAAAGAAAAAAAGAAAGAAGACAGTTCAGCTTCAAACGGTAATCACAAATATAAGTATCTCCGTACCCCTGAAAGCAAATTATTTACTCGCAGAGTAATCGACCTGTAGCGATACTTTCTTAGTAAATGAATCGATTTCTTCTTATCGATTACGCCCATCCCCGGGAGAAAGAGCGAGCGAGACGCTTTTGTTTCAGGACAGGAAACGATTTTTACCGTTCTGTTTGCCCTCCAGAGTCGACAGCGATCCAACTCTCAACATACGCGCACGCGCGCTCATACTCAGACCCAAGTTCACCAGGGACTTGGATCAATATATAGCATCAAAATAGCATATCTTGATGGCCTCTAACGACCACCCGTACTCGAGCGCGCGCACGCACGCACTTGTATACGATACACGTGCGACATGTAGGCTATATTAGGGGCTGTTCAAATAAAATCTTACACCTTTTTGTGGACTTTTTGA